CTCTCTCTCTCTCTCTCTCTCTCTCAGGACACAGACAGAAATAAGGATGTAATGTTGAAGTTTAATAAGTGGAAATGTATTTTTATATTTTAATATTCGCACATGGACAGGAAACAGCCAAGTCACTCATCAAAATCAGAAAAAAAATTCATTTAGGTGATCATTTTTGGTCGTGACATTTCAAAATTGTCCAAATGACAGTTAGTATGTTAACATTTAGTGAACACACATATCAAGTTCCAAATGTTTCGCACAACAGTATTTATTTGCTTGAATGTATAAAGCATTTTTAGGAGAAGTTCAATCTGCTGCTTCTGCATGACAGCAATATTTCACACACCACCAAAGTTTCTGGTTTCATTTTGAAGGCAGACAACCATTTGATAGGCCTGTTTTTTTTCGGCAAAGAGTTCCACTAAATGAAGGTTTGTTCTCCCCTCGTCACAACATGAGGTGTGAGGACAGAGAATTAAGGATCACAGTTACAGGGCAGGTGCATGCCATGTCATTAAGCATGTGATATGTCTGTTATCAGTGTGAAATGCTGTCATTTTTAAGGGTCCCCTGCCACACACTTTGGTGGTGACAGGATGGCATAAGGTCCTCTGTCACCATTTTAATCCACTGAACAACCTCATGACTGCTGGGTTTATTTTGGTGCAAATACAACATAACCGGAAGCTCAGATCATTACTGAAACAGACCAAAAAGACTAAAATCCAGACAAGACTACCTTTGAATTTCTTACTCATTCCACAAATAGATATTTAACTGTCTTGAATTGGCCACCTGATTTCAATAATGATTTTTTTTACTGACAGACCTGCTTGTGTAGCATCACAGCATCACATCTAAGCACCATTTTAAATGGCACTCTACTTATGGCTGACACAAAAAGTGCCAAACCTTGTTGAATCCAAACTTTAAAAAAATGCTTTTATGACAAATAATTAGCCTTGCGTCTTTTAACATTGCTCTAAACATCCTGAACTGTCCCAGAACTACAGAACATTTTGTCAACCACTCATCCCCCTCGACCTTTATTTTTGTTATCAAAATGAGATAAAGGAAATTTTATCTTTTAGCTGACATATCACCAGACCTTGTAGGTGTTTTCAAAATGAAAACAAGTGTCACAAAAAATGCCTGAGTCATTCCTTTTAGTCAACTGCTGATGTCGTCTCTTGGGTGATTCACTGTGTCCAGTGACTTGTAGGCTTTAACATTTAAATTCAAGTCAAAATGTCTGTGCAGCTGTTTCCAGTCAGTGAAAATTTATCTTCAGGGTTTCTCAATTAAGAGACACTTCTCTTCATATTTCAACATTTTTCAATACTTTTTAAAGTCCATGCGTTACATTCATTGTCCCACTTGGTGACCTTTGAAACAAAGGCAGTCCTCAGTGATAATTCTGCTGTAATTTGTGATGCATCAGTAGACAAAAACAGTCACCACCAAGTGATAAAGTCATACAAAAAGGTGGAAAGTGCGCTGGCTTGGGTTGTAAGAAGTACATATGGGTGGCCCTTCAGTTTGGCCCAAGATGGTTCGTATGCTAAACTAAAGCAAACGAAAATGTGATTAAATCTGTAATTTGCCTTGAGAGTTGTCATCTAAGTTTAACACCATGTTCAATCTGATTGCCCAGGACTGATGTCAGGGCCAAAGTGATAGGTACAAGGACACCGTAGTGATGTCAAACTCATTTTCACAGAGGGCCACGTGAGCGTGTTGCTCTCAAAGAGTCAGTTGTGATTAACTTTAATGCTTTGTGTCTAACTTCAGCTAAACACAAAATGTCATGTTCCTCACCTCATTGATACAGCTGGGAACCACGAACAATAATTGAGCTCTACGTAGTGTTACCTGCATCAAAATAGTGTTTCAACATATAAACACTGAAACTTACACTGTGTGTAAGACTGAAATAAATAATACAGAAATACTATTAAAAGTAAAAGTAAGAGTTTTACTCACTGATGAGTTGTGGTGAGTAGCTGCTGCCATCTTGAACTCTGAACTCTCCCATCTTTTGACTGGGAATTCCCACTGAATGGGTATCACAGTTTAAATTTACAATTTACAATTGGGAAATTCCCACTTTCGGATACAAAAGACCCACAGCAAGAGTAGCGAGAATGCGGTGAAATGGAGATTTTACATTGTGAATTTCGCCGGCTGCGAAATACTTTTGAAGCCTGTGCACCTCCACCTAGTGGTAGGATGCCATCATTTTGCAGGTAACACAATCAACATGAATTATGGGAGATGCAGTTTATCGTCAATGCTGCCTTTCAAGCAGCATGCACTTATTTTAAAACATTACACCTTTGAAGCCCTTGCGGAGCACATAAAATGCAGTGGCGGGCCACGTTCGGCCTGCGGGCCTTGAGTTTGACACATATGATCCAACATTTCTAATGTATGTAACATACTTGTGAACTTGACATACACATTTTTAAGTAAGGTACCACCTGCAACAACTTTGCAACCACTTTGTGAGAAAAAGCTTTTCTCATAGTATTTTTTTTAGCACATTCAAAGTTCAAGCAACAAGGCTGTGAGCTCCTGCAAGGAAACTGAAAATGCTTTAAGAAATTTTGGAGACTCCCTCATGAATGAAACAAACTCGTCTCTAACAACTGTAGCCAAGTTAGACACCATCTTAAGCGCCACATTAGCACCCTAACTTCCTGTGTAAGGTAATCATGTGTTTCCATTGTCGTGCAACAATGAAAGGCCTCAATAATTTTTGTATCAGTTTCTCTTAAGCCTCTGATAAGGAAGTGGATACTTTGTTTTGTTTTGATCAGTGTTGTATAAAGTACCACAAAATGATACTTGAGTAAAAGCACAAAAAATTACTTTGCTAAAAGTTAAAGTCTTCTTTAGGAGTATTACTTGAGTAAAAGTCTTAAAGTATCTGATATTTTTTGTATTAAAAGTAAAAGTATTGATTTAAAATGAGCAGTTAGATTTTCTGTAAGGACATTTATTAGGAGGTGGCCTCCCTCCAAAAAATGCAGAAAGGACTATATTGTATTAAAAATAATTTATTAATGTTAAATTTAGGATGCACTAGTCTAGATGTTTCAGTTTATACACATATATCAAAGCTGCCCAAAACTTTTCCCAAAATGAACATCTATCTGAGGGCTGCAGCCAAATGCAATAATATAATTCATGAAATATAAATACTTTGATTTTAATGATTATATTCTGCTGGAGTGTGACATGATTTGTTTGTGTATAAACTAATACGGTATCAGAATTTTCTATATTTATACTTCTCATTCAACCACAATTAAAGTCAATTTTTCTAGGAGGCACAATTTACATGGATAGTATTTATTTCTTACAAAAACAAGCTGCAATGAAAAGTAACGACTTTATACTTCTTGCCTTTTTTAAAAATGTAGGGAGTAGAAAGTACAGATAACTGTGTGAAAATGTAAGTAGAATTAAAAAAGTAGGCTGAAAAATAATTACTCAAGCAAAGGTACCCAAAAATTCTACTTAAGTACAGTAAAGAAGTATTTATACTTAGTTACTTTACAACTCTTGTTTTGATTCACTGACATGGACAAAAAAAAACTATCAGGAAGTGGTACAGGTATGTGTTACAGAACAATAGCCAGTAAATCTGCCGACAACAACTACACTAGAGCTCTCAGTACATGCTTGTATAGAAGAAAGCTAATCAGCTTTTGGCACTAATGTCCTTACAGTGGCTGAAAGGAGGGGGCTATATTTAGTGTCACTCTCCCTCTTAACAGAGGATAATTCTGATTCTGTTCATCTCTATGTAGCTCATCTTTCTCTGCTTGAATTTGTCAAGAAGCCCACAGAACAAATTGGTCAAAAGCATTCAAAGGTCTCTGTAAAACACACAAAAAATGATAATAGAGGTTTATTAAAAATATTAAGTTCAATGTAAAAACTAAAGCGGTAGTAATAAMGCACATTAATAAGAGCACTGACAGACACATGAGGGGGAAAAAATATGAATGAGGACCAGAGAAGAGAGACTAAGGCTAAGTAAGTGACATCTGGAGGCCTAGGCTTGCGGGCTTTTAATGATGCAGACCTGGAGCCGATCCACTCAGCACGCTGCCACGTGATCCCGGAGAGCAAGGCTCGGCTGGTAGTACGGCCCTCGCACATACCTGCTGCTTTGGGTTCACTCAAAGCTAATGGAGTTGGCAAACGGAACAATGACGCCAGTCGGTGACGTCTTGTGGAGGGAAAATCCTTCGCCATCAGCTGCCTCACGCTGGCAGTGAAAGCCGTGCCCATGCAGGATTTGGCGGGGGCACCTCAGAGCGTTGACCCATTGTAGACATTTTTGCGGGATGTCACAAGGGCAGCGAAAACAAACACTTCGAAACAAGCATTTTTTGAACATTTTTAGCTTTTTAATAAGGTCAGTCAACTTGACAACAACCATCAGATTTTTTTAATGAGCTGCTAAGATGACTGRGAATCAATCTCTTCGGAGCAACATAAATCCACATGAACCAGCTCAGAGCACACCCGCCTTCACACAGACTCACAGTGAACATGTTGAAACTGCTTTTCACCCTCCAAAATGAAGCACAGATTCACACAGAAAAGATCCCACACAACTTTGAAGCCGCCTGCTACGACAGTCCAACACAAGCTGTACAAAGTAGAGACGGAAAAATAATTAGGAAAATTAAGAGACATGTTTCCGAGGGCGTGCTGAATATATTTAAAGGTACATTCTCTCAGAAAAAAATTAGCCAAAAACTGAAGGAGTTGATAGAAGTGGGTTCATCTTTGTGCACTTCTTCTTACTGAATTTTTGCTCAGTGACTGTTTGTTGAAGAAGAGAATTAGCATTCTGAATTTCATATCATTTCACGCAGGAAGTACTCCTCAGTGGTGTAGCATCCCTTGAATCCTGCCACCATGTATTTAACTCACACATGGAAACCACCTGCTTTTACAGTGCATAAATACTGACATATGTTTTTAAATACTAGACATCAAACGTGGAAATCTAAAAAAACTACTTACAACTTTCCAGTGTTTTTTTTAATAAAAACTGATGGCTCTTGTTTGTTTTGACTTATTAAAGTGTCACCTTTTAGAGCTTTCAAGGACTTTAAAAACTGATTTGACAATTGTATTTGCACTTTATTTGATACGTAACAACTTATTTTACTAATTCTAGTAGATGTAAACACTTTTTTTTCCACACACAAACATGAGCTTCCTCTAGGTCACCTTGTGTCCATTTAAAACAAAAGAAAAGGTCATTTTTGGAAGTGAATATGAGTCTGCAGAAACACAAAGAAGTGCACTGGTGAAACTGCGTTTTGACAAGCCCCCACCCCCTCGGCGCTGCTAAAGAAGATGAAATCATGTTTTCACTTCCTCTTTACTAATCACAATGTATCCTTGCACAGCAGAGCTGCTGATAAGAAGAGTCTTCAACTAAAAAAAATAGAAACACCAGCTGGTCGATACTTCCCTCAGTGTAAAAAAAAACTTTACTCAGCATTGGGGAATGTTGTTAAAAAGCCTAAATACATTCAATGATATGTACAAAACTGTAAAGATACAGTATTATTCTTCTTTAATAAAGAATTTCAAAAATAGACTTTTTTTCCCCTTTCGGCTTTATCAAGGCACTTCAACTTATTTCTGTACGGAAATAAAGCAATGCATTGTTCTGTTGATTGAATTGTACTCAAAAAGTCAAACAAAAACACAAAGCAGATCTTTGGAGTTGTAAACAGTATCCTGTTCCTCTTTATGCATTGTTTGTGAAATGACTCACACATACATACACTCATGCACATACACACATGTATAAAGACCAGAAGTCCTAATGAATGCATAGCTTCAGCACATGATGAGGGTCCTCTGCTAGTCTTTATAGCAGCTAGTCTTTTTAGCTTTGTAAAAGATGTGCATTTAACTCGAGTTGAGTCAAATGTTCACCGTCACGAGTCATAACTCACAAAGCATGACGAATACGACCTTATCTGCAACGCTGATGACTTTGTGGCTCAACTGTGGCTTGAACTGCTAAACCCACCAAGTGTTCAGTCAAACTTTTCTGTGACTCTTCGTCCTCCTGCTGCCAGAACCAGAACTCAGACCGCCGCCTCCATCCAGGCACCTTCTACTACTCAGTTTCCTTCCAATATTTTATTCCTCTCGTCCAGACCCTTTGTTTTGTTGGTATTTACCTGTTGCCATCTCAAAGATGTGATGAAAACGTCACAATCATTCTGATGTTTTTTCATCCGGGCATGAGGCCCTCGGTTTACTTGAAACAAAATGGGCGTACTCTATGTTCAGTTACAGGGCAGCCAAGTGGCGTACATGGGATGCTGCAAAGTATGAAAGTACTGGTGAGGAGGGGAAGGTGGGCAAGAGTAGACAGGTTGAACCTGCGCTACGTAATAGTTGCTGAAGTTCCCATCTGAGACATAAGGGGCCGGCTGGTAGAAGCAGGTGACATTGGCGGCGTTGGGGATGGCGTTCTGCTCGGCCAGGACCCTCAGCGCCAGCGAGGAGATGAGGCTGAGCGTCTGGCGCCTCTCGTGCCCCATCAGGCACACGGTGCTCTCCTGCACCACGTCGTACAGTGTGGCCAGATAGTCGTACTTTCGGTCCTCCAAGTTCTCAAAGTGGTTCTGCAGGTAGGACTCCAGCTTCCGCCGCTGCTCGYCCACGTCGGGGAAGTCTATGAAGAAGCGCGAGCACATGTAGCGCTGCAGCAGCTTCATCTCCGCTTCCGCCGCCGCCCGGAAACCCCGGACCAGCAGGTGGCAGTACTTGAGCAGGCCGCCGCCTCGGATCTCCTCGGGGCTCCGGGTGCAGATGAGGCGCCGGCGCAGGTGGTCGAGGGCAGTGGGGAAGTCGCCGTAGACGCTCTCGCCGAGGATGGTGGGGTGGAACGTGGCTGCCATGGGGTGCTCCGAGCACTCGTAGAAGAGGAGGAGGGAGTCCAGACGGATCTGGAAGGAGTCCACGCTGAACTCAAACTGTCGCCGAAGTGAGTCCACGAACTTGAGCTCCACATTCTTGCCGCGGTTGTTGGAGAGCGAAATGAGACTCCAGCGATCCGAATCGTTGCACACCTTCACCATCTTCTGCACGTATGCTTCCTAGAAACAAAAGAGGTTGGGAAGAATTAAGTGTTGACAGACTGCAAAAATCTTGTATCCAGCCAAAAAGTATTTTTGATCTTCTTTTGAGATTGATAGYGAGAGCAGAATGCCTGGATATTTTCTTGTTTCAAGAAGTCTTACCAAGTTCAATTGTATTTCTACACTGTGGGTGCATTCACACATTACACATCTGATCCACTTTAAAGGGATCCCTGATTAGTTGTAACATTAGACTTTATTTGATAAACATATATTTTAACTGTAAAATAAAGTGTAAAAATACTGTAGACTGTTTAATTCAGTAAAATTAAAAAATATATATTTTAACACGGATGGAGCCATTTTATTTACATGCAAAGTATTCTGGGTAAATGATGACGTGGATAGGTCCTCGGTGCGAGGCTGCTAGCGAGCTATATCCACCCTGAAGGTTAATCTTGGACAATATCTGATGATTGACTCTTAAATGAAACCAGAGAGCGTTGACWGAGAGGAGAAGGTAGAAATGACTCAGTCTGTAACTGGAAATATGGATGGAGGACAACAGAGCTCCTTCATGGAAGAAGAACCTCAACTTAGCCTGTTAGCTTTTGCGCTAGCGCTGACGCTATATTGTCTTATATGTATTAGCTCAGTACTAGTGCGACAAACAAGCTACACTGAGGTCCTCCATCCATATTTTCAGTTGCAGTCTGAGTCATTTTTGTGTTCCCCTCTCTGTCATATGGATGGAGGACCTCAGTGATGAGAGGAGAATGTGCAGCACTGAGCTAATACATATATGGTGATAGTGTCGGGGCTAATGCTAAAGCTAACAGGCTAAACTGAGGTTCTTCTTCCATGAAGCAGCTCTGTTGTCCTCCATCCACATTTTCAGTTCCAGGCTGAGTCAATTCTACCTTCTCCTCTCTGTCAAYGCTCTCTGGTTTCATTTAAAATAGTCGATCATCAGATATTGTCCAAGATTAACCTTCAGGGTGGATATAGCTCACTAGCAGCCGCGGACAGAGGACCTATCCACATCATCATTTACCCAGAATGCTTTGCGTGTAAATAAAATGGCTCCGTTCATGTAATATATTTTTAAACTTTTAGTTTAAAAATGATAAAAACTGAACATCCTACAGTATTTTTACAGTCTTTATTTTACAGTTAAAATATATGTTTATTAAATAAAGTCTAATGTTACAACTAATCATGGATCCCTTTAAATGTCCCAGAGTTTATTTCCCCCGTTGTCCAGACCTTTTACGCATGTATTCATGTAAACCTTGGTGTGGACCAAACAACCGGACCGAGACCCATTTTAGCGGTGGTTTCGGTCTGCTTGCAAACGAATTCTGGTGCGGTTCACTTCTGGTGTGAATACAGACCAGCCTCGAATTGAACCTCCTACAGGAAACAGGCACCTTTCTGGACTTCATGAGCTACTTGCCATCCAGTGTTGCTAATGCTAACACTACGCTACAAACATGAGCCGTTGTGGGTCAGGGAACACAGAGCTTCTTGTCTCCTTTGCCTTGCGGCACGCTTTTGCCAATACCGGCCCAAAATTAGAAGTATAATGTGAAACTGCCGTGAGTGAGCTGCTTTTGAAATTCTAAATGGTATTGCAGTTGTATTAACCGCACCATCTTTCTTTCTGGGTCTGTGCTCTGTCCCGCCCCCGTCATTTCTGTCCAATGGGAGCAATGACCGTCACCCACGTGGCTATAACTTAAAATGTAGTTCACTTGCAAAAAAGCACAATGTTAATGCAAACCACACTAAAAAAAATAAATAAAAAAAAGTCTACTTTTGTTGCAGACCAAATAGGTGGACCGAAAGACTTTACTGGTGGTGTAACGACACCCTTAATTTGAGAAGATTCAGACTTAAACCTAGCAGTTTTTAAGTTATTTTTAGATCACTAATTTTTGCAGTGCACATACTCAGAACAGTGATTTGTGTGTGTTTTCTAGAGTTCTAGCAGGTCATTGAGTTCTTCTAACACCTGCAGAAAACGTTTTCTTATGTGTTGCAAATGTTTTTTTGTGCTAAGGTACTTCAGCCTAATATTTATTTGGCATGTTTGGAAATCGTCTACCTTTTTGCTCACTTGTCCTCCCTTTCACAGCTGCAGCTGCACATTTTCTTTTCTAAAAACAGATCCTTAAGTTGACCATAATGTGCATGATTTTTGATTTAAGAATGACTAAATGAGTTTTAGAACGAACTAGAAGAAAACTCTGGCTTGCAACATTTTTATTTGTGCAGATAAAAATCTTAGCCATTCATCATGTTTTGCAGGTCACATCTGTCAGTAGGCCTTCAGTAGCCTTGGTAGTCTTCGGTTTCTAGGTAACTAAGGGCCAAATGATTAATAAATTAGACAGAATCCTTTTTGAATTGCAAACAAACCTTTTTTTAAATGTTCGCAGCTTGTGTCACTGTGGTTGCACGTGTTCTGAACAGAACTCAGTTCCATTTTTTAAAAGCTGGGAATATTTTTTGGTATTTCTGAGTTTAAAAGCCTGAACAGTGAGTGAGTGTTACCTTCAGAGTCAGTGGTGTGATCTTCTCTTTATTCACTCCCTCAGGCAGGAAGTCTAGCAGAGAGTCCAGCACCAACTCCTTCACAGTCTGAAACTCCAGCTCTCCCTTCAGCTCGGCGCAGAAAATCAAGTCTAGATCTTTCCATCCCAGACCACTGTCCTCGTGCAGGACGTAGCTGGCCGCGGATCCGTTCAGACGCACCTCCCGGACGTGGATCCGCTTCTCCTCCATGCGGCTTCGCACCACCTTGACAATGTCCCGGGGTTTCACCTCCAGGGTGGGGAAGCTCCAGCGGCCGTGGATGGGGATGGATCCGGTGAGGATGGCGTCCAGCCGCTGCACTTGCTCCCAGTTGAGCACGCTGAGACTGACGCTGTCCCCGACGGCGCAGCAGCTGTCGGCCGCTGCGCACTCGCTACTCCTCCCGTCCATGTCGACCAGAGGTAGACTGAGGGATGAAACAAGTAAAGCTTCCCACCAGTTCCAACAGAAGCATCAGAAAGATGCAGATTTAAGTAAACCTGAACATCATGACGGAAAGAAGTCGCGGGGCCGCGCGTGTCCTACTTCTCGCACAAAGTCTGCGCACCAGACGAATTCATTCCACAATGAAAAAAAAAAAAAAAAAAAAAAAAAAAAAAAAAAGAAAAAAAAACCCCAATAAAATTATCTGCAAATACTAAAAATAGTCTTCCCCTCCCTGTTTTCTGACTCAGATATTCACCGACGCATCCATCTCACCCGCGCAAAAGTTCCACTTTTACGCACAACTTTTACGCATGGTTTTAAGAGTTCTCTCTCACCCGAATCCACACCTACTTGCGCGCAGCGGTGTACGGCTGCTTCCTTCATCACATTTTGGCCGTTTTGCTCGCTTGTTGGCAGTGCGTGGTGCCTGAGAGGTACCGTTGTACAGCTGCTGGCGGGGGGAGGCTGAGAACCGTGTGTGCGCGTTTCCCAGTCCGACGAGCGCCGGGGCGGGTCGGTTTGATTGACAAGCTATTCTTACTATCAGCTTCTAGTGGTTTGGAGGCAAGCTTAAAGACTGAGGCGGGTCTGAGGCTGGGAGAGGGCGTCATGTTGGACTGTGAGCACAAAAAATAAGTAAGTAAGTAAGTAAATAAATTTGATATTAATAATGCTTTATCCACGAATCTGCATGCACTTTATTAAGCACCAATAATCACCTTTAAAACATTTATGCTATAAAATGATACTAAAACACTAAAGCAGGCTCACTATTTGTTGAGGTAAATATAATTATTTGCTTCAGTTTTTTTATAGAATTTTATTTTTGTATCAAATAATCACACTGCATAAACTTTATAGACAAATGTTTGATATTTAAAATCTAAACTGTACAAAATTTGAGTAAACAATGAAAATCGAAAGTACAGATAAATACTTCCGCCAAAATAAGTCATTTTGGGCCTTTTTACTAAAACTGCTCATATAATGTCCTTTGTTTCTGTCACTTCCATCACTTATCATTCCAAAGAACCCTCGCCCACTTCTTGTGTATTTTCTTATTATAAAGTTCCAGTTCATAAAAGTTTACTTTCATTTCTCCTCTGTTCAATTCAACCATGGATGAGGAAGAACAATTTCAAGGCTTTGCGCTTATCATCACCTCAATATACACATTTTTGTTTTGCATTTCGGTAACTAACAAAAACAGCTCCCAAATATAAACTTTTATTTTATTTTATTGAGTTTAAGTGTTTAAAATCCATCCTGATTACTTGTAGGCAAGGCTGAAGATGCGCTGATGCGCCCTCTAGGGGTGATTTCTTTTTCATCGATCATGAGAAATTCTGTGCAGCTCCCAGAATAGTACTGCACACCTCTGCAAAAACCCTGAAATGCAACATGTGCAAAACACAACATCAATCCAGTGCAATATTTCTGTATTCAATAAATTCATGTCAAACGTCTAATAATTAAGACATAAGCTGTCCACATGTAGGGTACGGGTCAACGCCGATGCAGATTAGTTGTCATGCAGAATCTTTCTCAGCGCAGAGCTTGATGAGTATATCTGCGTCACTGCAGACGAGCCCATTAACCAGCTTATTGCAGATTACCCTCTAAGTGCAGTGACACACAGTTCACACAGACACATACACACTTACATTTCCAGTTTGGAGCTCTTTATGGAAGCTCTGCCTGAACTACAATCAGTAAACACAGAAAATGCGTTGGTCTTTTTTAAAGAAAAACTATAAGCAGGTGATAGTATCAGCTATGACTCAAATGCTTGATTCAAGTCATTTTGCAGTGCACATTTAGATCAAGTCATTACAATATCGTTTTTTTTCTGCTTGTTCATAACGTCTCTTTTCTGAGCCTTGCTGTCAGATACAATAAACAGAAATCTTTTAATATGATCCACTTCTTTTCAATGCAAATGTTGAGCATTGTTGGTTTGGAGCTGCAGTTTTGTTTCATTATTTTCAAGCTGCAGACAAAGTATCTCTGCAGGTCGGCACGACACGGCAGGTCAGTCACACTCTTTCAATTCACCTACTGGCTCGGTGTCAGGCTTACTGCCTGGGATAGTTACCACCAAGCGGCTTCTTACCTGACCTTTGACTCACCAAGTGGATGACACCGGCTTGGTTCCTGATGTCTGACGACATCCGAGGATTGGCGGGGGATTCAGGAAGCTACCCCTTGTCAGGCTGCCAGACCAAGCACCACATCCAGACTCAAATCATGCAAACATGTCTTTATAACTATAAAGCTCAAAGCAGCTGATGTGTCTGTGTTTATGTTTCAGTTTCTCCTCATGTCTGTGGACTTTTTCAGTCTCCTTTTAGTCCCTTGTTATAACCGACATAAGGCGACCAAGAATTTTTATTATCAGAACATATTTGGCATCAAGCCATCTCTTCCTCTTGTCATTTCCTACTTGTCCACTGCCATTTGCTCATCCTCTTTCCTGTCCCTCTTTTTACTATTACTCCACGAGGAAGTTCGTTAAGAGATTATAGGCTAATGTGCTTCAAGTGACTCCCCCCACCCCCACCCCAGCGGCCCCTTCCATTCTCATTTCACTTCCCTAACACCTTCTACTTTTGTCTGGATTTCATGGAGCGTGTTGTACGTGTGGAATCACGCTCTCTTTTCTTGACTGATCTAATAAAGCTCTCCTAGTTGTTACGTAACTGAATGTGAGAAATGGTTAAGTAGTTGGTAAAATAACTGTTGGGTGCRATGAGTTCTCTGCAGGGCTCTCAGTCCTGAGAGAAGAATGCAGCGTGATTCATTATTTTTTTGACTCACAATTCTTCTGGAAATTTTTATTTATATTCTAAGCACAGGTTATGAATCAGTTGCTAGCAACTTTGGAACTTCCTGTTCCTGATAAATGTGTTGTCTAAAAGCTGTAAGTGTCAGCTTATTGTTTCCTTACAGGTCGATGTAAAGCACTTTTCAAAAACACTGAAGAAACTTAACCGCAGCAGAAACGGCTGATTGTAACTTAAGCCGGAAAGTGCAGGGCTACTTTGATAGATAATTTTAGCTTCTTTTAGCTAGTTACTTTTTTTGAACATTTTTGCAGTATTTTGCCTCTTTTAACTGTCAGCTAATTGTAGCTTTTAGCATTTATTTTTGACTTCTTTATATTTAGCTATTTTGGCATTTAACAAGAATTTAGCTGCTTTTAGCTATCAATTTCCCGTTTTTGATTATTAGCTAGCTTTTTGCTACTTTTAACCCCTAGCTCATTTTGATAATTTTACCTTTTACTATTTGCTACTGTAACTTTAAGCAAACCTTTGGCTGCTCTCACCCATAATGTCTCTATTTGTACCTTTAAAAAATATCTTTTGGATAGTGTTTTGCTTCTTTTAGCTTTAACAGCTTATTTTCAGGTTGTTCAGTACATTTCAGCGACATCATTAAAGATGCCCTGATTAGTTGGAATATTAGACTTTATTTGGATAAACATATTTTAACCGTATAAAGACTGCAAAAATACTGTTAGCTGTTTAGTTTTGTACAGTTTTAAAAATATTTTTTAACACGGTCGGAGCCATTTTATTTACATGCAAAGCATTCTGGGTAAATGATGATGTGGATAGGTCCTTCGTGCGAGGCTGCTAGCGAGCTATATCCACCCTGAAGGTTAATCTTGGACAATATCTGATGATTGTCTCTTTTAAATGAAACCAGAGAGCGTTGACAGAGAGGAGAAAGTAGAAATGACTCAGCCTGTAACTGAAAATATGGATGGAGAACAACAGAGCTGCTTTATGGAAGAAGAACCTCAACTTAGCCTGTTAGCCTTTGTGCTAGCACTGACGCTATATTGCCTTGTATGTATTAGCTCGGTGCTAGTGCGACAAACAAGCTAAACTGAGGTCCTCATCCATATTTTCAGTTACAGGCTGAGTCATTTCTACCTTCTCCTCTCTGTCAACGCTCTCTGGTTTCATTTAAAAGAGTCGATCGTCAGATATTGTCCAAGATTAACCTTCAGGGTGGATATAGCTCGCTAGCAGCCTCGCACCGAGGACCTATCCATGTCATCATTTACCCAGAATGCTTTGCATGTAAATAAAATGGCTCCGTCCATGTAATATATTTTTAAACTTTTAGTTTAAAAATTTTAAAAACGAAACATCCTACAGTATTTTTACGGTCTTTATTTTACAGTTAAAATATGTTTATTAAATAAAGTCTAATGTTACAACTAATTGGGGATCCCTTTAAGCAATCACTCTGCATCTTTGCAGAAAAGGCAGTTTAACTAGAATTATTTTAGTTAATTTATGTATTTCCGGCTGTGCAAATGATAAATAATGTACATTGTAGTGTGTGTCTGTTGCATAGGGGCTATTTTGGCTATTGAAACCTAACAGTATCCAGGCAAAATATCCCATCACAGACAGACCTCAGCAGTATTTCCAAATAGTTTTAACCCCAGCCTTAGCGAGTGACCCTTGTTAACCTTGACCAACCTTGAGGCGCACCTTAGTAAGGGTAAGCCCCCAACTAAACTCTTCCACAGCCGCTAATGAGATTCACCGATATGCTTTGTGCTGTAAGCCATGCAGCACTGCTCCTGGAAAGTTTGCCTTCAAGTATGCTGAATGACAAGCACATTGCAAAATTATCATGTTTTTAAACGATCGGTGAAATGAATACAGTTGTTTAGTGTTACAGAACTAAGCTTGTGCAAGAGGTTGTGAACAAATTTATCACTTTTCAACACAAGATATAGCAGATGACATTCTGACCGCAGTGATCAAGCAGTTTGGAGAGAGGTATTGCTTAACCAGGGCAAGAATATCTGTGTGAAAAATACACCAAACAGTAATACAACGCAGAGAGCCTAGTGAGGCCTAGCATTCCTTGATCTGCATCATATCATACCATCGTATCATCATATCACCCGCTGCTTTTCAATCAGTTTAAATTGAGATCACATTTCAATAAGAAATAACAGTCATTTTGAGTAAACTCTGAAAATAACAGTATGAATAATCTCATGCAGTATTGCAATTTCTAGATGTCACATTTTGTGCAAGCTAAGGTTGACGAGCTTGATTTAAACTGACTTCAAAAGTTAAATGGATCATAAATGTAAAGCTAATAATTACTTTTAGAAAGTTTCATAAAAGGTCATCCAGTTCAKGAGATATTTTGAGAACAGGGTGAACTCTAACTTACACGCTTATTACACAGTTTTAAGTAGAGGTGTTGTGCAATGTGTTGCACTCAAAATACGTGCTGGGTATGATGATCAACTACCTACACACCAAACTTTATCTTGGAGTTAGAACCAATAAAATGTTGGCTAAGGTTGATTAGCTGTGGTGGCCATCTTGAAATGAAAGGTTCATTAAAAATGATTCATGAGGTTTAAGACACACACACACACACACACACACACACACACACACACACACACACACAC